GACCAGATGAGAGCAGAAGTGCCATTGGGCATCTATTAGACAAAGTGCCATCCGTGGTGGAAAACAACATGTCCCTTTCCCATCGCAGCTTTAAAATTTATCCTTTTCTTCAGTGAATGATACATGCATTATCTATATCTACCTAAGCGTTTACATTGTGGCTTTTGAAAAACAACAGTGCAAAGCTATCTGTTTCTCCCCAAAGCGGTGCTCCAATCTTTTCAAGAACTTTAAATAAAACATTGATCTATTTTTGAACAATGCGCACTCCCCTTCTCCAGGTATTCAAGAATGTTTTGGGTTTTTTTTCTTGGAACTGAAATTGACTAGATTAGCAGCTGCATGCAGCCTGGTTTAATCAATTTCACTTCTATGGAACAATAGTGAAATGGCTGCAGAAAGTGAAGAATGGAGCAAGCAGATCATTTCCATCCGACTGCACCCCTTCTTTCTGTTATGTTTCCACTGTTATCAGTGTCTACTCATGTACAATCAGGTCTAATGCCACCATAGCTGATATTATACAGAAATGTGCATAGAAAGAATACCTGTTTGTGGCAGATTAGTTGAGCTGATGGGTCACATATGGGGGTACTTTATGTGACTTCTGATGTCAGTTTCCAGGTACCAGCTTTTTAGAATTAAGGCATCATAGAGCTTTTAAGGGTTCATCCACACTTCTGCTTGTCCTGTGCCTAGAAAGCACAGGTCCAAGTGGTTTTTGACTTGCCCTGCTCCTTTCCAAGGGAAAACCCACTCTTTAGCTCTAAACTGGAGCAAGCGTCAATCCGGAGAAAATCCCAATTGCCATTTGCTCAGAATGATCGCTAAAGAGCGGTTTTCTCTAAGGGAAAGCAGCGGGACAAGAGGAAGTGTGGCTAAACCCTAAGTCAAGGTGCTCCAACAAGACGGTGATTTGCCAAACTTTTGTCCTTTGATGATGGTTTAAATCTTTGCTGTTCTCCATGCATGTATTAATTGCATTGTCTCTAAAGAAGCACTGATATGATAAGGACAGAGATAGACAGCAGCATTAGCTTTACAAGGCACTGGGGGAATCTTTCAGAGACGAACCTATAAAAGATGGAACAATCTCTCCTTAAAGCAATTGAGAGGCAGGCTCTTGGCAATGAAAATTAGTTACATACTTTAGACCTCATTTTTAATGTGACAGTTAAAGGAAAGCAGCAGATGTTTTAGGAAAATCAGGGTTAACTGTCCCCTTTATGCTGGAAACTGCATGCATTTAAAAGAATTAGAAAGAAGCTGATGCATATAACTGCTGTCTGAAGGGCTGCTGCAAGTCAGAGTAGACAATACCAGACTAATGGACCGGGCTTAAGGCACATCCATTGTTCCTATAGGTCTATGCTGCTAGTTCAGGCTGGCACATCTCTTCTACTGGCCAGGGCTGCCATGCCATGCTAGATTTTCACAGGCCACTTCCCTGAGAGATTACTGGCTGACAGGCATACCTAGGTGTACAATTAAGTAAACACGTTTGGCCAGTCCAGTTAATAGCTGCCATTTATTCCAGATTGCCATGGACCAGGGATTGTTTGATTGCAATGTTCAGTTTCCTAGAATTTTGTAACAGTGTCCTAAATTATCTTAAGTGCAGGTCCTGGCCAAGAGCTAAGGTAAAGGTAAAGGTACCCCTGATTGTTAGGTCTCTGACTCTGGGGTTGCGACACTCATCTCACTGTACTAGCTGATGTTTGTCCGCAGACAGTTTTTCTGGGTCATGTGGCCAGCATGACTAAGCCACTTCTGGTGAAACCAGAGCAGCGCACGGAAACGCCGTTTACCTTCCCCTCTGGAGCGGTACCTATTTATCTACTTGCACTTTGATGTGCTTTCGAACTGTTTGGTGGGCAGGAGCTGGGACTGAGCAACAGGAGCTCACCCCATTGCGGGGATTTGAACCGCTGACCTTTTGATCGGCAAGCCCTAGGCTCTGTGGTTTAGACCACAGCGCCACCCGTGTCCCATGGCCAAGAGCTGTCCATTAAGCCTCGTCTCAATAGAGAAGAAAACTGCAACCCTCCCATTGCTCATCCACTCTGCATGTTTTATTGATTTCATTACACACACACACACACACACACACACACACACACAGCCCTCTTCTGCATCCCCACCAGCCATGAAAAATTCTAAACTTTAAAAGTAAAAGACTCTCCTTGTGTTTTTGCACAACCCTTCCATTCACCCCGATTCACAAAGAAATAGTACGCTGTTGCAAGTACCTGCCTTCCTGTCATTTCCCCCCAAGTCTGAGTACTGATTGGTTGCCGCTGTGTGTGTCTCCTTGCCTGACATCTCAATTCCAACATCTACATTACAAACTCCTGCTAACTTTGGCCTTTGCCTTATTTCATCCTCTCTCAATTTCTCAGCACCTGTTCCTTGACATTCTCTATCTCTCTGTAACACAGATCCTACCCTGGTTCCTTCTGTCTCTGCTGCCTTTACACTTTTCTAAGTGAAATGATTGTATCCTACTGGCTCTTCCGAGCAAAGTAATTGGCAATTACTTATTTTTGGACATATGCAGGAAATCTAGTAAAATATGATTCAAATTCCGTTACCGGCGGTGACAAACCCCTCCTGCAGGTTGAACGGGGCTCATCTTGGATTACAATAACCCTAGCTCATTCTGCTGCAATAAATTGTTAAAAATATTCAGTATGTTGCTTCTTATCACTTCTTTCCATATTCTACAAAGTGTGCAGATTTTTGCTGCTTTCTCGCCTTCCTTTTTAAAAAGTTGGTTTTGCTACCCTTCTACTTCATTTGTTTGGTTTTTTAAAGGTTACTTTCCGCACTTAAAGTCAGCCTGGAAAATAGCAAATGACCTTTCTCTGATATTGATCAGTATGAATAATACCAAATGAAACTTTGCCTAAAAAACACAATAGAATATTCAAGGGGAGGTTAGATGCTTAAGGTTGGGGCTGGGAAACCTCTGGCCCTCCAGATATTGTTTGACTCTAACTCCCATCAGCCCCAACCAGCATGACCAATGGTCAGGGGTGATGTGAACCCAACATCTGGAGGACCAGATCCCCCTCCCTGTCCTCTAAGGAAGAGCCACCTCAAATTCTGTGCGTGTGATTAGTAGTGACAGAACACGACTCTTAGTATCAAGTCCATTGCATGGAGACTATGAGATTTTCATTCCTATTCTGCCTATGATTTCAGCAAATGAATTATTTCAATGCTGTGACATAAGACTGCTTCTGGCTGTCACCAGGCAGACACGTCGACCGAGTTCTTTCCTAATGGAGAGCATTGTTATGCTCAGGTCCTGCTTGCAGGCTTCACATAGGCCATGTGAGAACAGGAAGCTAGACTAGATGGGCCTTTGGCCTGAACCAGCATGGCTTTTCTTGTTTGCATGGCTAATGGAACTGGAGGCATGCTCTGGGGTCTGTAGATGAGAGACAGACAACATCTTTTGTGAGAGTTGGAAATGGTTTGAGAGAGGCATCTCTTTTTATCTCATTGTCATCTCTGATCAAAAGGGCTTTGCAAGCTTTTGAAAAATAGAAATCTGTTTCGATTTCGCTTTTTTGTATATATCTATTATATTTAAAAAGAAACATATTTATTAAGGATGAAAGTGGGATGATCCCTTTTCCATTAACACTTTCCACTCTCTGAAAAAGTTGTCTCTACCCTAAGCTGCTCTGATGAGCATTTTGGTTGAAAGGTGGGTTCTAAAAGTAATATTGATAGGTTCTTACACACATGTTATTTGTTTCAATCCAATTGACTTCTAAAAAGAGATGTGCTTGTCAGTCATCACACCCTCTTTTTCAGAGGTCCTTTAGCCTTGTGTTAAGTCCTGCTAAGGTTATTATGTGGTACAATCTCATGGGATGGTCTTCAGCAACCTGGTGCCCTCCAGTTGTTTTGCACTACAACTCCCAGCCACATAGCCACACTGCCTGAGGTTGCTGGGAGCTTTAGTCCAAACCATGTGGAATCTCAATCACCAGGTTGATGAAAGCTGGCACAGTATTTTGCCACAGTTCCGATCTTCCTGCTACATACAACTAAACCGAAGTATTCATAACTGAAGTAACAGCACAATCTGTTTGCTCCAGTCTCCATTTCCTTCATTTGCTCTGTTGTTTCTCCTGTGCTGAATTTTAGGTGGTAAACTAGCAGCAGGGACTTGTACTCTGCAAAACACCAAGCATGTGATGATACAATCAATCAAAGTAATGGACAGGGCCTAACATGTGGCTGGAAAATACCCTCTCTGGCCACTTCCATATTTTTGAGAACCCCTGCAAGGATATCACGGAGTGGTTAACTGAAAAGCAATAAACTTTCAGACATTGCTAGGGAATAGTAACACAGCAGCAGCAGCAGCTGCATATCAAGTTTATTCTGGTGGTTCACTGCTTATACGGAGCCACTGGAGGAGAGTGTGCTGTCATTCATCTTCAGTACAAGAACCCTCTGATTGATGGTACAGTGGTGCCTTGCAAGACGAAATTAATCCGTTCCGCGAGTCTCTTCGTCTTGCGGTTTTTTCGTCTTGCGAAGCACGGCTATTAGCGGCTTAGCGGCTATTAGCGGCTTAGCGGCTATTAACGGCTTAGCGGCTTTAAGAAAAAGGAGACAAACTCGCAAGAACTCGCAAGACGTTTCGTCTTGCGAAGCAAGCACATAGGGAAATTCGTCTTGCGGAACGACTCAAAAAACGGAAAACTCTTTCGTCTAGCGAGTTTATCGTCTTGCGAGGCATTCGTCTTGCGGGGCACCACTGTACTCTGAAAGGTTGCCTGACCTCTCTACAGTCAACTTTATCGGTAGCTGTAAACCAAATATTTAGTTAACCCTATACACCCCCCCCAAATGAGCAGGCAAGTAAAAGTCATTCACATGGACCAATGGTCTTATCTGCTATAACATATTCTTATGTTACCATAGACGTGCTTCAGACCACTACCATACCTGCTTACTTCAGACTCTACCATTCCTCTGCTGGGATAGCTAAGTCAGTAAAGCATGAGACTCTTAATCTCAGAGTCATGAGTTCGAGCCCAACATTGGAGAAATCCTGCATTGGAGGGGGTTGGAAGAGAAGACCCTCATAGTCCCTTCCAACTCTACAATTATAAGATTCTATGGAATCATCTTCACTGGACTGGCCACTAGAAGATAATCATCTTCTATCTTTCTGCCTCCCTGCTTGTGACCACATGGGGATACAAACACAGAGAGGTAATGTAGGATGAGGCCAGAGGCCACAGAAGGAGGACTTAGCTATTCAAATTACAAGATGCAGAAAGAAGGGGCCATAGGATGCAACAATGATTTAATGCCAATCTGACACCTGGCATTTATTGAACTTGCAGTTCTTCCTCTGGGGAAACTGTCAAACAGTTGAACTGATATGAAAACATCATTCTGTTCAATTTATTTGCTGTTCTAAAAAAAAGGAAGAAGCAAAAAAAAGCTGCTCTCTCCAAGTCTGAATGAGGAACGCGCAGCATGTAAGATGATAACATTTTATTAAGCAAACTGGCTTCGATCTAAACAAGAGCTGGTGGAAGGAGAAAATGTATCAGTGTTTTTTCAATGAACACCTGCACACACTAGTGACTAGTGGAAGGAGAAGCACCACATGTGGTCATAGAGACTGTTCATATCCTGGATGGAAGGTATTACCTAATAGTGAGTCACATTAAAAAATGAGTTACATCACAATATCTTCTGATGGAAAGTGGATCTCATAGGACCACAGGAACCAATGGTCTGACTCCTATAGGAAGCTGTCTTATAGGAGTCAGACCATTGGTTCATCCAGCTCAGTACTGTCTATGCTGACTGGCAGCAGCTGGCCAAGATTTCAGGCAGGGTTCTCTCCTAGGCCTACCTGGAGATGGCAAAGATGAACCTGCGACCTTCTGCATGCAATGCAGATATTCTGCCACTGAGCTATGGTCTTTCCTTTGAACTCAGGACTCACTCACACTATGCCCTGCAATCTCTAGTCATGGGTTCTGCTGCTTTTCTCAGGAAAACTCGCTGTTTACTGCTTAATCAGAACAAACACAAATCCACATAAAACCCGATTGATGTTTGTTCCAATTCAGCAGTAAAGAGCAGGTTTTCCTTGGGGAAGCAGTAGGACAAAAACAAAAACCCAATTGCACCCATTACTAGAAATCATGGAACAAATGAAAGCACAGATGGGTCATTAGTTCTCAAAATAAGATATATCATAGGATTTTACTCTGTGACTAATAAGACTTTTTTTAAAAAAGAAGTAATGCATTTTGTCAGCTGCAGCAAGTATGATGTAGTAGCTGGAATACTGAACTAAGGATGGGGAAATGTGGGTTCGAATCCCCAATCGGACATTTAATGCCAATCTGACACCTGGCATTTATTGAACTTGCAGTTCTTCCTCTGGGGAAACTGTCAAACAGTTGAACTGATATGAAAACATCATTCTGTTCAATTTATTTGCTGTTCTAAAAAAAAGGAAGAAGCAAAAAAAAGCTGCTCTCTCCAAGTCTGAATGAGGAACGCGCAGCATGTAAGATGATAACATTTTATTAAGCAAACTGGCTTCGATCTAAACAAGAGCTGGTGGAAGGAGAAAATGTATCAGTGTTTTTTCAATGAACACCTGCACACACTAGTGACTAGTGGAAGGAGAAGCACCACATGTGGTCATAGAGACTGTTCATATCCTGGATGGAAGGTATTACCTAATAGTGAGTCACATTAAAAAATGAGTTACATCACAATATCTTCTGATGGAAAGTGGATCTCATAGGACCACAGGAACCAATGGTCTGACTCCTATAGGAAGCTGTCTTATAGGAGTCAGACCATTGGTTCATCCAGCTCAGTACTGTCTATGCTGACTGGCAGCAGCTGGCCAAGATTTCAGGCAGGGTTCTCTCCTAGGCCTACCTGGAGATGGCAAAGATGAACCTGCGACCTTCTGCATGCAATGCAGATATTCTGCCACTGAGCTATGGTCTTTCCTTTGAACTCAGGACTCACTCACACTATGCCCTGCAATCTCTAGTCATGGGTTCTGCTGCTTTTCTCAGGAAAACTCGCTGTTTACTGCTTAATCAGAACAAACACAAATCCACATAAAACCCGATTGATGTTTGTTCCAATTCAGCAGTAAAGAGCAGGTTTTCCTTGGGGAAGCAGTAGGACAAAAACAAAAACCCAATTGCACCCATTACTAGAAATCATGGAACAAATGAAAGCACAGATGGGTCATTAGTTCTCAAAATAAGATATATCATAGGATTTTACTCTGTGACTAATAAGACTTTTTTAAAAAAAGAAGTAATGCATTTTGTCAGCTGCAGCAAGTATGATGTAGTAGCTGGAATACTGAACTAAGGATGGGGAAATGTGGGTTCGAATCCCCAATCGGACATAATGGTTGTTGTATGACCTGGGACCAGACGGTATATTTTAGCCTAATCCACATCACAAGTTTGTTGCTGTGAAGATTAACTTGGGGCAAGGTAATTGCATGTGAAACCTTGAGTTCCTTGGAGGGGTGGGGTGGGATATGCATGCATGCAACAAATAAACATAAACCATATATATAAATTACATAAATGCATGCTACCATTGCTGGAGGAAATGCTGGTGCTACAGGAAATGCAACAAGGATAGCAGCATCACATGTGAACCAAACAGTGTATTTGCTATAGAAATCATTGGTGCTTCTTGTAACTTAACATGTAGCACTGCCCTATGATTTGCCTTGCTCAGGGAACTCATATTATCCAGCCCCAGCTAAGACTGAGACAACACAGTTAATTTATAAATGTCTGTACATCACTCAATGTCTCATTACCCAATGACTTGCAACTGAATGCATTAATTCAATTCTTTTACTGAAAACTGTTGTGTTAGAGATGACACAAGGGTGATATAGCAACAGGTTTGCTTGCATTTTTCCTGGCAAGGTTCAGGGGCCATTAATAGCTTCACGATGGGCAGAAATTCAAAATGTGAAATCCTTTCCATCAGTGCATGTCCACCATGGGAAAATTAACCTAGAAAATTAACTAGAAACTTGCTGCAGCTATTAAGAAGAGAGACAGCTTCCTGGAGCAAGCAGGGGGATGGTAACCAATATGGCCACTTGTATTATGGGGTGCCACAGGGGACAGTTCTGTTCCTGATGCTATATAACATTTATTTGTTCAAGGTTATGGTGCTCATATATAGCTCAGGACCAGATTAATTCAGAGACGACCTAATCCCTTATGTACCCAATAGGTCACTGCATTCTCCAGTATTTTCTCCTTCAAGTCACAAAAATATTGAAAGTCTGCTCCACAGTAATTCAGAACAGGGGTTTCACTGAGGATGAATGCAGTGGTATCTCGGGTTAAGTACTTAATTCGTTCAGAAGGTCCGTTCTTAACCTGAAACTGTTCTTAACCTGAAGCACCACTTTAGCTAATGGGGCCTCCTGCTGCCGCCGCACCGCCGGAGCCCGATTTCTGTTCTTATCCTGAAGCAAAGTTCTTAACCTGAAGCTCTATTTCTGGGTTAGCGGAGTGTGTAACCTGAAGCGTATGTAACCCGAGGTACTACTGAACAGAGCTGCCTTCAGATGACTTCCAAAGCTGTATAGTTACTTATCTCCTTGACTTGGGGGTTGCATAACTCCATACCCTCTAACATTTCTCCAATGAAAATAGGGATGTCCTAAGGAGAAGTGGCCTTTTGTCTTTGTCCATGGAGTTTTCTTGGCAGGGATACTGGAGTGGCTTGCCGGTTCCTGCTCCAGGTGGATCACGTTTGGTCAAAACTCTCCACTATGACCTGTCCATCTTGGGTGGCCCTGCACGGCATAGCTCATAGCTTCTCTGAGTTATTCAAGCCCCTTTGCCACGGCAAGGCAGTGATCCATGAAGGGGATCCATGAAACACAACCTTGATGGCAGAAAGTGAGGAGGAATTAAAGAACCTTTTAATGAGGGTGAAAGAGGAGAGCGCAAAATATGGTCTGAAGCTCAACATCAAAAAACGAAGATCATGGCCACTGGGCCCATCACCTCCTGGCAAATAGAAGGGGAAGAAATGGAGGCAGTGAGAGATTTTACTTTCTTGGGCTCCATGATCACTGCAGATGGTGACAGCAGTCACGAAATTAAAAGACGCCTGCTCCTTGGGAGAAAGGCGATGGCAAACCTAGACAGCATCTTAAAAGCAGAGACATCACCTTGCCAACAAAGGTCCATATAGTTAAAGCCATGGTTTTCCCAGTAGTGATGTATGGAAATGAGAGCTGGACCATAAAGAAAGCTGATCGCTAAAGAATTGATGCTTTTGAATTATGGTGCTGGAGGAGACTCTTGGGAGTCCCATGGACTGCAAGAAGATCAAACGCATCTATTCTTAAGGAAATTAGCCCTGAGTGCTCACTGGAAGGACAGATCGTGAAGCTGAGGCTCCAATACTTTGGCCACCTCATGAGAAGAGAAGACTCCTGGAAAAGACCCTGATGTTGGGAAAGATTGAGGGCACAAGGAGAAGGGGACGACAGAGGACGAGATGGTTGGACAGTGTTCTCGAAGCTACAAACATGAGTCTGACCAAACTGCGGGAGACAGTGGAAGACAGAAGTGCCTGGCATGCTCTGGTCCATGGGGTCACAAAGAGTCGGACACGACTAAACAACTAAACAACAACAACAAGGAGAAGTGGGACATTGCGGGATCAAATCAGAAACCGGGACGGCTTCTGTAAATCCAGGACTGTCCCTGGAAAATAAGGACACTTGGAGGGTGTGCGACAAGCACCTACTATCTCTACTTTCTGGAAACAACTGAAGACATATTCACTTCGACAACAGAAAAGGTATGCCAACCTCAGTTTTAAAAAGAAATACTCTGGGCATGTGCAGTGTTGTTAAGTTCAGATTATAGCACCACTACTACAGAAATAACGTAAAAAAGTAAAGGTCCCTTGGTCCCTTTACTTGGTCCCTTTACCAGCCAAAGGCAGTTATGGGGTTGTGGCACTCATCTCGCTTCAGACTGAGGGACCCAAGTCATTTGCTT